CTTTATTTTCTTGGGCACCAAAATCACTGCAGATAGTGACTGCAGTGAAGCCTTGCATACTGCAGTCCATGGGGTCACAGAGTCGGACAGAACTGAACAACGGAACGAAAACAACAAAGGGGTCCTAAACAAGTTGTACACTTAGGTCTTAGCAGAAGCAAACTCAACTCCTCTTCTGAAGAATCCAGCTTCATGCCAAGGCTTGGGAAATTCCCCAAAAATAATTTTTTAAAGGCAATGAAAAGTTACTTAAATGTAACAAGCACAAAAGGAAATAATGAAACCTGAAAACCACCACCAAAAACAATAGCTAGCAGAGAGAGATCTATAAAGTCTTCACATACTGGAAATATCAGTGACAGATTATAAATCAACATGCATGCTTATTGTTCTTAAAGGAATAAAGAGGATAGCAACAGTATGAAAAAAGATAGCAAGAGGATATGATTCATAAATCTATACTAGCATATCTGAAAATTTAAACAAAATGGACCAACTTCTAGGAAAATGTAACTTATCAAAATTGACTCAAAGGAAAATAGACAACCTAGAGAAGCCTATAACCATCAAATAAATTGAATCCATAGTCAAAAATACCATAAAAGAAAAACAAAATAAATTCTTTCTCTCTCTCATTTCAGATGCAAATGGATTCCCTGGTCAGTTTTATCAATCATTCTAGGAAGAAATATTCCAATCTTATACAAACACTTCCAGAGCATTATAACAGGAAGAAAATATATGAAAGCAATACATCCTGACTCATACTATGAAGCCAACATAACCTTGATAGCAAAATCTCAAGAGGACATTACAAGAAAGGAAATTTACAAGCCAATTTCTCTCATAAATATAAATGAAAACTCCTACATAAATTATTAATAAGCTAAATTCAAAAACATAAGGACACTTCATCACAACCAAGTTGAGTTTACCCCAGAAATGGAAGATTATTTTAATTGAAAAATATAATAATAATAATGAAGGGATGAAAATAAGACTATATATATGTACACACCTGTATTTGCAAAAAGAAAAACTTGAACAAGTGACAAAACTAATAAAAGCAGTTACTAAAGGTGAAAAAGAGGTTTTTGAGACATATGAACATAATACTGATTTTCAAATTATTAAGTGTATCAATTAATGCAATTCATCACATCAGCACAGCAGAAGAGTAAAATCACATGAACATGCGAAGATGCAGAAAAAACATTTGATAAAATTCAATATCCACACGGTACTAAGAAAAACTCTTAAACTTGGATTAGAAGGGAATTTTCTTAATCTGATGCAATATATATGTGGGAAAAAGTTATATCACACTTGTGAAATGTTATGAATTATCCCTCAATTAAGAACAAGGCAAAAATACCTACTATCAGTTTTATTCAACATTATATTGGCAGTCCTATCCACAGCATCAGGGCAAGGAGGCCAAAAAAAAAAAAAAAAAAAAAGCATAAGGACTGAAAAGAAACAAATACTGCCCCTCTTGAAAATAATATGATCATGTGTGTAGAATAAATTTACAGATTTATTATTAAAATAGTAAGAGTTTAAATGAAAATCAGTATATAAAAGTTAATCATATTCCTATATACAGTTAGGGAAAAATTAAAAACATATTTTACAACACTATAAAACTTTAAGTACCCAGGAATAAACTTCCCAGTAATGTATAAGATCTCCAAGAAAAAAATTATAAATATTGTGAGGCAATGCAAAAGACCTAAAAAAATGGATCAGATGACTTCATTTTGTAATGGCATTAATGCTCCTTGTATCAGTTTATAATTTCAATACAATACAAACAAAGTCTTGCAGACTCTTTTTTTTTTTTTCTTAATGTAGAACTTCATGGCATGATTCTAAGAAATGTAAAAGGCCAAGACTGGTTAAGACACTCTTTTAGAAGAACAAAGTGGACAGGCTTGCTCTACCAGATATTAAGACATGTTACAAACTTATGGTAACTAAGAAAACATGTTGCTCATGCAGGAATATACTAACAGATCCAATGGTATAAAACAGAAGTGCCAAGAAACACACTGCACACATATGGGCATTTGATAGATGACGGTGGCACAGCAGATCAGTACAGAAAGGAAAGACTTTTCAATAAATGCTGCTAGAGCAACTGGCCATCTGTACAGGCTGAAAAGTGAAATTGAACCCCGACCTCCACTAGCCAAAAAATCAATACTAAGTGGAACAAGACACAAAAAGAACTAATGATAAAGGAAGTTATTGATAAAGTTTACTACCTTAAAATGAAGAACTTCTCTGTTCAAGGCACAATTTTTTTAAAAAATGAAAAGAAAAAGAGAGTAGAAGATATTTGTAATCCATAAAACAAAGAAGTCAGTTTTATATATATATATATACATATATATATATATGTATATATATATATCTCTGTATCTGTGTATATATATATATATATACACATATATATATATCTGTATCTGTGTGTATAAATTATTCCTGTAAAGTAATGAGAAAAAGACAACCCAAATGAAAAATGAGCAAAAGACCTGAATGAGTAGCTTGCAAAAGAAAAAACACAAATGACATTCAAAGTAGCTTTAAATTTTAAACCACAAGAAGAAACCATGACATATCCATATGACTGACAAAAATTAAAAATTCTGTAATAACAAGTATTGGTGAAGATACTGAGAAAAAGGAACTCTCTGACACTCTTCATGGGAATGCAAATTGGTACAACTTTAGAAAACAGTTGGCAATATCTGATATTATTGAAGATATGCATAGTATGTGACCCAACAATCGCACTCCTAGGTTGATATTCCATTTAAATGTATGTAGATGTGCAGCAGGAGATATATACTAGAATGCTTACCACCAACACTGTTTACAATAACCAGAAGGTCCAGAATTTGGAAATCAGATATTCATCCTTGACAGAACAGGTAACTTGTGGCATATTTATAAAATGGAATTCTACACAACAATGAATATAAACAAACTACAGTCACCCACTGGATGAATCTCACAATGTTGAAAAAATGAAGCAAATCCCAAAAGAATGCATGATAACAATACAATAGCAATATCAACTGTGTCAGGTTCAAATAAGTTTAGAAATGCATAAATCTGGTAAAAGTATAAAGATAAGCAAGGAAATGACCACCACAAAAGTCAGGATAATGGCTACCTATGGGAAAGGGAGATGGTTGTAACTGGAAAATTATAAAAAGGGCATTGGGCTTCAATAGTGCTACTAATAATCTATTTCTTCATCTAGGTGGAGATTACATCAGTATTTGCTTTATAGTTGTTAGACTGTGCATATGTTTTCATACACTTTGAGTGTGCATTTTATAATGTTTAAAAAAGAGGAAAAATCCTAATATAGCGGATTTCGTTATCAAAGTATTTGCTATCCCAGTGCCAGCAACTGAAAGGTTGCTTAGAGAAACAAAAGATGTCACAACGACAATAAGCTAATGAACTAATCACTTAATGAACTGATCACTCACTTTCCTGCCTGGTTACCTCCAGATGTTTCTCTCACTGATTGGAAGCATCCACAGTATAAATAACAGGCAAATCACCTTCAAATTCATTCATTCAACAAATATTTATTAATATTTATAATATTTCCATACACTGTTCCAGGGGACCAGCAAAGTTCAAGATAAATAAAGGCCCTGTCCTCCTGCAAAAGATAAAGGACAGGGGACCCGCCACTTCCATCCGAATTTTGCCTCCACCCTCTCATTCTCTTTTCCAAACAAGTACCAAACATGAAGAACTAAAAAGGATCTCAGGAATACACATGAAGTTATCATCAAAACCTAATCTTAGGGAGTCTTTTCACTATAGAGGAACCACATGCTTGGGTTCTTTGGCTAAACTATGGCTTGCCATATTTTCAAGTAGGCAAAATGACTGCCTTATCAAGAACCTTGAAGTCAAGGCACTAGTCTCAACAATGGAGATGCTGTGAGAACTGGCTTACATGGAGTCAAAATCCCAAGGAATGGCATCCAAAGACCAGAGGCTTGTCATTTTCCAGACACTGTACCTTAGACTTTGCGTGTACATTTATTTTTCTCAGGTCAGAGTCCAGAACTTTTATCTGATTCTCAAAGGAGTTCAATCAAAAAGGGGCCATTAAGCACTGCTCCCAACAAGTTGAACAGGCCAGCTTTTTAGGGACATGGTGAAAGTGAATGTGGCCACAGGCAGAGCACCTGAGTTGAAACCCACGTGTCCTGACCTCTGGGCCTATGCTCCGAATGATGTTCAAGATAAATAAAGGCCCTGTCCTCCTGCAAAAGATAAAGGACAGGGGACCCGCCACTTCCATCCGAATTTTGCCTCCACCCTCTCATTCTCTTTTCCAAACAAGTACCAAACATGAAGAACTAAAAAAGGATCTCAGGAATACATATGAAGTTATCATCAAAACCTAATCTTGCCTCCACCCTCTCATTCTCTTTTCCAAACAAGTACCAAACATGAAGAACTAAAAAGGATCTCAGGAATACACATGAAGTTATCATCAAAACCTAATCTTAGGGAGTCTTTTCACTATAGAGGAACCACATGCTTGGGTTCTTTGGCTAAACTATGGCTTGCCATATTTTCAAGTAGGCAAAATGACTGCCTTATCAAGAACCTTGAAGTCAAGGCACTAGTCTCAACAATGGAGATGCTGTGAGAACTGGCTTACATGGAGTCAAAATCCCAAGGAATGGCATCCAAAGACCAGAGGCTTGTCATTTTCCAGACACTGTACCTTAGACTTTGCGTGTACATTTATTTTTCTCAGGTCAGAGTCCAGAACTTTTATCTGATTCTCAAAGGAGTTCAATCAAAAAGGGGCCATTAAGCACTGCTCCCAACAAGTTGAACAGGCCAGCTTTTTAGGGACATGGTGAAAGTGAATGTGGCCACAGGCAGAGCACCTGAGTTGAAACCCACGTGTCCTGACCTCTGGGCCTATGCTCCGAATGACCAATACTTACTCTTAGTTCCTCGAAGGCTTCATCGAGGGTGGAGAGATGGTGGCCATGGTGAGCCCCAATGACTGGGCAGAGCACACAGATGAGCTGCCTGTCTTCCTGGCAATAGGTACTCAAATCGAGCCCATGGTCCGGACACTTCCTCTTGGCCACTCTCTCTGCTTCCATTTCTATTTCGGGGTCAAATTCGCTTTCCGCCTCCGTTTCTCCCTCGGCCTCGGATTCTCCTTCTTCCTGGTTGTCCTCCTCGGCTTCGCTCTCTTGCTCGTCCTCCATTTCTTCCTCACTGTCTTCCTCGCTCTCGTCCTCGCTCTCTTCCTCTGTCTCGCTCGCTTCTTCGGGCTCACTGTCTTCCTCGGACTCGCTCCCTTCCCCCGCCTCGCTTTCTAGGGCCTTCTCATTCTCCACCGGGGCCTCGACTGCCTCCTCCCCGGCCCCATCCCCGCGGGCTCCCGGGGTCCAGGCCTGGGCGGCGCAGTGAACGTACTCGGCCAGGTGGTGTCTGGGGAACTTCTGCCCGTGCGCCTCCGCGTGGTGGCGGCAGTAGCAGAAGCCGCATTCTCGACACACTTCCTCGGCCCCCGGAGCCTCGTCGGGCTCGCACTCATCACACGTGCCGTCGTGCGGCAGCTCCTCGAAGGCCGCACCCCCTCCGGAGGCCATGTGGAGGCTCTGCCGCGGCCCGGGCCTCGGGGCTACCGATCTCGCCGTCTAGCTCCGGCGCGGCCTCCTCCCCAGCCCCGGGGACCGGCCGCGCCGTGTCCCGCAGCCTCGGGGCCGCTGCTGCCTGCTCCCGGTAGCCCGTGTCCGGCGGAAGAGCGCAGGGCCTTCCCGCCGGCTCGGCAGCTCGGCGACCGCTGAGCTTCCTCCCACGGTTGGAGCACTTCCGGCGCGGCCACCCCGCGCCCCCGTCGGCCCCCGCGCCGTGCCGCCCGCTCGGCCTCCCGCTGCCCCCGGCGAGATCGTGGAGCCGCGAGGCCTTCGAGCTGCCCCGGTTCTACTTTGCCTCCCCTCCTCCCCCCAATCAGGCGGCCTCCTTTCACTTCCTGAGTCACTTAAAGTGGCGATGGTCCCTTTCTGCGGTTCCCGCGGGGGCTCAGCATCCCCGGAAGGAGGGGAAGGATGGAAGAGGTGTCCAGTTCACTCCGCTCACTCTGGGGGCGGGAATTGGGCCCCGCCTCCTCCACGCGCTCTCTGGAGTTGTCAACCTGACTTCTCAGGTCACCAGGCAGGTGTAGAGGTGCATTTCAGCCTCCTTCCCTCAAATTTGTTGCTGCCCGTCTCTGCCCCCGCGGCTACCTGTTCTGCAAGGCGCCAGAACAGAGTGGTGTTTACCAGACTGAACCTGACCCTTTGGGATTTCCAGGGGGAAAGGTTGTGTTTGTTCACTCTAGGCTCAGGGAATCCGAGTCAGGATGAGCAAACAGACATTTTCCATCTAAAGCAATACTATGCTTTGTCTGTTTGCAAAGTCTATTTGCATTCTTGCTCTCTTAGGGGCTCCGAAACTCTAGAATGGTAGCCTCTGCGCCTTTTTTCAAGAGTTTGCCTTGGGTTTGGCTGAGATGTCAGTGAAAGTAGGTAGGGAGAGACAATATTTGTCGAGTGAGAGTTCTAGCATGCAGTCATTATCCTTTATGTAAGGAGACCATCTAGATTCAGATTGGTTCCAGGAGCTAGAAAAGGGACTGTTATTTATTAACCAATACTAAAGAGCCAGGAATCGAGCTGGAGCTTTTTTGGCTTTTTAAAAGCCAAATTTGGAAGAGCCACTGCCCAAGGACCGGCAGATCCTGGTACTACAAAATACTGGTTTTGCAACTGTGTCTCCATAGTTAATTGATCATTCTGTTTTCCACTTTTAAGTATATTTTCCACTATTAAGTATATATTAAGTATGTTTTCCACTATTAAGTATACATATTTAAAATATATATATATATATGCAAAGTGGAAATAATAGTAATACCTACTCATAGGCCTATTTTGTGGGTAAAATGTAAAGGTACCTGCCTTGTAGAAGTATTCACTGTATTGTAACTGTTATTGGCACAAATTATAATTAGTGCACATAATGACCCTTAACACATTTTGGCTGGCTGCTGTTGTAAGCAACTCCCCACCTCTACCTCTTATATATATCTCTCAATTCATAGAAGAGCTTTTGATTTGTTTATTTGGGAGTGAAAATGGACATTTTAATCTAGTCCAGGGAGAAACTGAGATATGGTTGAAGAGAAGGAAGGGAAATGGAATGGTGTCTGTTTTTTATTTATTCTCTTAGATACATTTGAGTTAGGGTTTCTAGATGATCTTCACAAAATGCCAGGGGATTGCAGGGGTGGGTGTAAAAATCATTTAAAATAATTTTTAATATCTGTACATATAATGTATGCTTAATTTCTGTGTAGCTTTTGTCAGAGATTTTATTTTGAAACAAATCTTTTATTAACCTCAAAGCAATTCTATAGAATGTTGTGGGGGGGAGGCGCAGAACCCAAAGTTTCATTTTGTTCCAATTCCATACACATTTCTGTTTTTTTTTGCAGTTCATTTCTCCAGAAATTATGCCTTTTGTTGTCATTATTTGGCTTCCCAGGTAGCACAGTTGTAAAGAATTCACCTGCCAATGCAGGAGTGGAAGGTTTGATCCCTGGGTTGTGAAGATCCCCTGTAGAAGTGCATGACAACCCACTCCAGTATTCTTGCCTGCAGAATTCCATGGACAGAGGAGCCTGGCAGGCTACAGTCCATGGGGTCACAAAGAGTTGAACAGGACTGAGCACACATACACACACACACACACACACACACACACAGTGAATGAAACTGGGATGTTCCAAGCCTGTCACGAGCTTATTGTATTCTTGCCTGCAGAATTCCATGGACAGAGGAGCCTGGCAGGCTACAGTCCATGGGGTCACAAAGAGTTGAACAGGACTGAGCACACACACACATTGTTATTATTGTCATTATTGTTTGTTCTTAATTTTGTCTGACAGAGAGTTAAAGTATCATATCAGTATCTGACACTTGACAAGCTTTTTTGGAGTCCTGTGGTGAGAGGGTCTTAGAGACAGAAGTTATGGAACTGTTAAAAAGGGACTTCATAAAATTCTGGCGATGGAATATGGCAGACTCACAAGATGGACCATCTGTATCCCTCTGCACAGAAATCAGAATGGTCTGATTCCATAGGAATTGGAAACTTTGGGAGTATGTAGAGACAGAAACTTATTATAGTCTCTAAACTCTAATCCATTACTGCATAAAAATACCTCAAAATGTAGCAGCTTAAAACAATGAACAATTATTACTTCACTTATTCCTGAGCCAGGATTATAGGAGTGGCTTAACTGAGTGGTTCAACTCAGGGTATCTCAAGAGATTTCAGTGAAATGTTGGCTGGAGCTGTAATCATTTGAAGACTTGACTAGTAAGTGTAGGATTTTCTTCCAAGATGGCTCCTTCACATGGCTGTTGTCAGGAAGCCTTGCCATTTTCTGTTGGGTTGCTTGAATGTCTTCATGATATGGCAGATAAATTATCCCAAAGCAAACAATCCAAGAGGGGACAAAGTGAAAGATACTGTGTCTTTTTTTTTTTTTTTCTTTTTTTGGCTCCACTACATGCTTGCAGGATATTAGTTCCCCAACCAGGGATGGAACCATGCCGGCTGCATTGGGAGCATAGCCTTAACCACTGAAACTCCAGGGAAGTGCCTGCAATGTCTTATAATGTCTAAATTCAGACATGAATTTAATGTCTAATATCACCAGCCCAGGTTGGGTGCATGAGACAAGTGCTCGGGCCTGGTGCACTGGGAAGACCCAGAGGGATCGGGTGGAGAGNTGGAAGGCGTTCAGGTGAAAAGGAGGAGTTGCATACAGCACACTACACCTGGGACCTCCTGGGTAGCTCAAACGGTAAAGAATCTGCCTGAAATGTGGGAGAACCTAGGTCGGGAAGATCCCTGGAGAAGGGCATGGCAACCCACTCCAGTATTCTTGCCTGGAGAATTCCGTGGACAGAGAAGCCTGTATAGTCCATGGTCGCAGAGAGTTGGACACGACTGAAGCAACTTAGCATGCACACACGGGGGCTCAGAGAAAAGAGAAGTTAATTTCAGCTGGAGACTGACTCACAGCCTCAAAGTTGAGAATTATATTTTAACCAGCAGACTTACTGAGGACTTAAGCAAGGAATAAGTGAGTGAGTAAGTGCCAAGTCACTCAGCTGGGTCAAACTCTCTGCGACCCCATGGACTATACCCCGGCAGACTCCTCTGTCCATGGAATTCTCCAGGCAAGAATACTGGAGTGGGTTGCCATGCCCTTCTCCAGGGATCTTCCCGACCTAGGTTCTCCCACATTTCAGGCAGATTCTTTACCGTTTGAGCTACCCAGGAAGCCCCAAGTGTAGTGTCCTGTATACAACTCCTCCTTTTCACCTGAATACCTCCCACCATACAATGGTGGGACGAGCTTCAGATAACTGGTACAGACACTCCTGTCCAAAAAGAAGAAAAGATAGGAGGCACAGAAGAGTTGGAGTTCCATAACAGTCCTAAAAATCCTTCTAGACACATGTTAGAAGTGCCCTGATTAGGGCTCAATCCTACTTCTGCCTGGGAATGATTCTCCATGGCTTTTGACTTTACCCCTTGGGCTCTTGATTCTACTCTCTGAGTTATCCTTCCTCTTCCATGAAGAGAAACTCGTGTTTGCAGCTGTGTAGTTTGTCAGTCTGCTTCTTGTCATTAGAACTTCAGGGTCCAAAGTCTCCTTTTCATTTTGTACTATCTCTGTCCCATTTATTCCATGCTGGCAGTGTTTTGGCCAGTATCATTCATTTAAAAAGTTTGTGAGTCTCCTGTGAATCTAACTGGGGAACCATTCCATTGAACAAAAGTCATACCTGCAAATCTCTGAGGTAAGCTCTTCTCTACTCTGGAGGCTCATTCTGCTGAAACTGCTGAGGTACAACACTCATAAGTTTCTTTAAAGCCCTATTGTTTGTCTGAATGATTCTCTGAATCACTTCTGTAGATCTTTTTGAGGTCTGAACAAACGGTTTTACAGCCACACTCTCTACCTTCATCATTGGATGGATGTTTTCCTTGCAGCACCCGAGAGTTTATTTTTAACTGGAAGTCATTTCTTCATTTTAGTATTATTTGCCATCTGAAGAAGACAGGAATTTTCAAATCTAGCAAGCCCTGGGTCCTTTTTTAAAGTTAGTTTTTTATATTATCTTTTTCTTCTCACATTTTACTATAATCAGGAAGAAGACTTCAGTCAACACCTTCAACACTTTACCTGGAATTGTACTTAACTAGAATACCCGATTAATTAGGCAAATTTTCCACTTTCTACATTATTGCAGGTGACAGTGTTGCTAAGTTCTTGCCACTACATAACAAAGACCCTCTTTCTCCAGTTTCCAGCAACATTTTCCTCATTTCCCCTTAAGCCTTTATCTACAGCTTTTTCAAAACCCATCAGGGGGACTTCCCTGGTGGTCCAGTAGTTAAGACTCTGTGCTTTCAAAAAAAAAAAAAAAAAAAAGACTCTGTGCTTTCATTGGGAGATTGGGATTGATCCCTGGTGGAAGAACTGAGATCTTGCATGCCTGTGGTGCAGCCAAAAAAAAAAAAAAGCAGGTTTCTCATAACAGTTTCTTCAAATTTTTTCAGGCTTTTATGATACTCTCCTCCAACTTCTTCTGTTATGAAATCCTAGCTCACTCT